CTTCTTGCCCTTGGGTTTAACGTGAGACTTACAGTAATTAGACCTAGCTCTGATGATGTCCATCATTTGAGATCGACCTATGAATTTCTTCTTCATGCACTTTCATACGATATGAGAGTCCTCACAACGAATTATCCACATCGAGATGCACCCACTTGTCAGGATAATTATTTTTTAAATAGGCTCACACTTTGGCACCGAAAACATTCTTTTAATTTTTTCCGTCAGACTACCACTTCGGCAGAAGGGCCAATTGAGCCATTATAAATCCTCTTTGTATCCTGTTTTCTATCTTTTATGATGCATTTCTTTCTTATGCCTTCCTCGTCATCACTTCCGCAGCATTTTGTAAGGCCTCTTGACGCGAAACTATTTTCACGTATTTTCCTTACATGACTTCTCTTGTAGCCCTTTAAAGCCTCTCTCCTTAATGAACAGGTTTTTATGATCACTTCGTTCATAGGATTTAGCTTGTTCTTAAGGCCAGTCAACCAAGCGGATGGTGCTAATATGGCAACCAAATCAATACGAGTATCATTAAGGCATAGATAGCTTGTTCTAAGCTATTTCTTTGAGATAGAATTCTATCGAAGAGAAAATAGAAAACGAGGATAGGGACAAAATCACAATTATTGGGCTGCAGCTGTCGACGCGACCTGCTGTCCCGATGCATGGACCGACGCCTGGATCTTGTCAGGTCACAATAAAGCATCGTATTCCGAACTTGACCAGCTGCTATAGCTCAGGAATCTCTATCTTTGGTTGGTTTGGACTGGGCATATGGTAAGGAGTAAAGTTGATTGATCCTAGAAGGGGAATCCGAAGAGGGGGTAGTCGCTTCCCATCGCTTAGGCGGAGAATGCATGTAAAAGTCAGGTGTGTATGTGTGCGTATTTGTGGATTCTCATTCGAGTTCATGGGTCACTGATACAGTTTGTGACTTCACGTGACTGGCCTGCATAGTGAACTGTCTCTCCTCTTAGATCCCCATAAATCAGTATTTTTGTTAGACTTTTCTTCACATTCGCAACTTACCCATTCATCCTTTAGTACATTTCTTTTTTGTACTTTATTGTTCGTATTAGAAGGCAATCTTTAGAGCTGGTCATCGAGGCCTATTTTACGCCTTGATTAACGGAGTTGTCCTTTTTCTCCGCTTGAGTATGGCTGAAAAGTAGATTTTTGGTGTAGCTTCTTCAAAAGATCATCACTATTGTCTCTTTCTCGCTGTGTAAACCTCATCCGTAACTCAATAATTAGTCCTAAACAAATTAGTCTAATTGCTCGGATTTCCCTCGCTTTCTTTAGTCACGTGAGGGCTCTGAAAAGTTTTCGTCAGGCTTATCTCCCTTTCACGTCATACTTGCTATTGCATGCGAAAGAACAGGACGACAATTTGTCGCAAAATCCGTCAAGGTGATGTACATAGATCTGCCTAAATAAATTCAGCTTTGTCTCAAATGTGGCTTCACATTTAAGATACCATTTCTTGATTGAGTGTCATCTGTTCTTGCCTATTCAGTCTTTTGAGGAAAAGCCAGTTGGGTCTTCGTGTACCTGGAGACGATGTAAAATAAGGCATTTCCATTCTCGCAAATGCTAATTTTATCCCTCCCTATCTCCATATCTGTCTCAAATTCAGAATTCCTCATCTCTTTTCTGTTGCTGGCTCTGCACCTTCTCTGTCCACCACTCTCCATTCTTTGCCAATTGCCTTATCTCGCTTCGCATGCTTCGTCTTTCTAATCGCGTGCCATTGTGACGTTTCCAGCGGCTATGAAAAACCAGGTTCGCCGTCACTCTCTTCATTTTGAGGCCCTTATTCGTATTTTTTCTGGTCACGCTGAACCACCAAGCGGTGACAATAGACATTCTTTGCTTTAGCGTCCATGTTGTCTACATGCCGATATGTTTTTGTTCTCACCATCATTGTCCCCTCAACTTCGGCTTATCGCTTTTCCAAGCTAAGAAGGCTTACTAACCTTAAATTCGCCTTAGTGCGTTAATGTTAAGCGTGAGTATGAATATGAATTTCCAAGGGGAAAGTATATTTGGTCTGCATAGTTATCAGTTTATAAGCCTTACAAGATTATTTTAGTTTGGCCATATCTTGCGACCCTGATCATCTTTCTTAGCTACCTCCTAATTAACCAATCAATTTTATCCCCTACCTTTATCCAAAATTTCTTATTTGTTCCTCCACTTCTTCATCACAGGAGTGTCGGTGTGCTCACCTACTTCCTCCTGACTGGCGTTTCTCCCTTCCTTGCTGATGATAAATCAATCACTATGGACAACATCACGCATTGTCGGCTTGAATTTCCAGACGACCTCTTCTCCCACATTTCTCCTGCCGCCATTGATTTCATCAAGAAATTGCTGCAAAAGAAGCCAGGGTCAGTAACCGATTTACTATTTTCATATCGTATCTGCCCAAAAGCCCTACTCTATTCGGCCACACTGATTCTCATGGCTTTGATATTTGTTAAAATGGCTATTTGATCATTTAATTTGTGACTTTTGTTTAGTTCTGGGTCTTGGGTTCGTCTTTGGACTCAACTTCAATGGAATCTCTGGGCGAGGAAAAATGCCTAAATGTCGACTAGACTTCAGTGACTCCATTCACATTCTGTTTGCGGATCATTTGGCTCCTGGATGCTTCACTAAGGGATGATGAACTTTCGTTATGCTCAGATCAAAAAAGTTTCTGTGGAGCTGATTTATCTGCGTTTTTTCTCTTATCGGTGTCTTTGGCGAACTGTATCATTCGCTGGATTTTCGTCCAACTTTGCATTAGCATGCTGACATGTCCATTTTGCTCACACATACATAATTTTGTGAGAATTTTGTTAAAGCCATCTAGGAATCACTTTTCGGAGAGAAGATAAACCAGTTCTCAATTAGTGGTTTAGTAGCCAGCGATGAATTTCAGCAAGCAATTACATTTTCTTTAAATTTCGCTATTTCATGAGTCCCAAGGATATATTCTTACTTAAAACTGACAGCTTTAAAAATGAGTCATTTAACTAAAAAGGCATGGCTTCCTTCAATTAGCCAATCTGGTGCCCAGCATGATTTGATCATGATCGTGTGGAAATTCACGAGGAATATATTAGTTGGCTAATCTCACCGCAAGACGACGGCTGACTCCGATCGTTCTGTCGCTATTTAGTTTTAATACGACGTTTATATTCTAGTCCACGAGACATCCTCTTTCGTTTCAGGTGATATTAGGCTGTACTTTCATCCGTCATATCACTTCACAGTCATCTTCTGAGCCACAACAGGCTAACACTAAGCCAAGAAGACCAACCGAATATTGTTAGGGAGACTTTCATTTCATAAACAAGTGTATGAAGAAGGAATTCGTATATTGATCTTACCAGAAGACGACGGCTGAATTCCGTTGTGCTGCATCCGTTTGGCTTTAATACGACGTTCAGGTTGACGAAGTCCACGAGACCTGTCTCGTTTCGGGTGAAAACGGGCTGAGCCTTCGTCCATACATAAATAATGAATGGTTCAGCTAATTATCTTTTATGTTTGTCATGCTACCTTTGCTCGTGTGTGTGTGTGTGTGTTGACATCTATACGGAATACCGGTCTTAAATCAGCTCCAATCTTGGCCATAATTGAGGAACACTTTTTGGAAAAAGGAATACTAACTCCTAAATTGTTGGTTAGATAAATTGATGACTATTTTGTCATTTGGCCATATGGTAAGGAAAACTTCGATAATCGAAGGTATGGAGGCCAAGATGGAGTGGCCTATAGTATGGTCGCGGTCTGTTTTTGTCGTATAAAAGTTGTATACATGAAGAAAATGAAGGTTTCTAAGATTCTCCTGAGATAAGATTGATGTGACAATTTCCATTTCGTATGGGAGCACATGATGAAGGGATTCATAGGTCAATCTCACCAGAAGACGTTGGCTTATACGCATTGGACTACAGCCGTTTGGTATTAATAAAACGTTCAGGCTGACGCAGTCTACGAGACATCCTCCAACGTTTCAGGCAGAGACGGGCTAAGCTTTCGTTCGTCAGGTAACGAACATCTTCAGAGCTGGTGCCCATTCTTGCAAAAGCCTCATGTTAACATCAAGTCAGAAAGACTGGTCTGTTTTTTTCTATATGATATATATACTCATTGCGAGCAAAATGCAATATATAGATGGATATAGAATGGTTTGGTTAAGTCACGCATACTCCAGTCTGTCTGTGTGTATACATGCTCACGTCTGTACATAAAACCGGTCAAATCTCAAAGTAATTAAAAAAGGGCTTAACGTCAGCCCCTGGTCATTAAGGCTTAATGACCTGAGGCAAAAATGAAAAAAAGATGACTGAGATTGCGTTGGTCCGTTTGAAAGCCTGGTTAACTTTTACAATTTATGAGTATTAGGAGTATGAGGCTTGCGGTTGAAAATCATCTGACCCAAGTGTTAAGAAGACTAAAAGTGTTAGTCCTGGAGAATAATTATCCTTTGGGCTTAATTGATAATAAATACATCCTTAATAAGGAATAACTTTTCAGGTAGAGATTATTTGGTGAATGAGGCAAGCCGAGACCCTCATGTTCTAATCTTGCCGTCATGCTTTCTTTCGAAGAAGATGTGAAAACTAGCGGAGAAGGGGGGGATAAAGACAAATTACAAAGAAACCCTGACAATTTATTGGGTTATACCTTCTTTTGGAGAGAAATATGACCCACTATCAAGATTATATGCTGTTGTAGTCTACCTTATGTTGGCGAGACTTGTAGGACCAATCCGCCAAAGATTAGCGGAGCACAAAAAGGCAGCTGGGTCGAACGGTGTGAATTGGTGGAACACATAACATTGACTAGATATGAGACTGGTCTCGTCTGAATTTTATTTCCAACTGTATTTGGAATTCCGAAGTAAATGATTATTAAGAGCATGAGATTAGCGTATAAAAACCATTTGACTAAACAGTTGGAACGGCCGAAAGGTTTATTCCTGAAAAATAGTTATCATTTAGGCCTAATTGATAATAATATGTCTTTAGTGAGAAATAGATTTTCACACTGTGACTATTTAGTCCTAATTTTGCCTCCATGCATTCCTTTTGAA